TATTAATACATAAATATTACTTTGATGATTTTTTTTTAAATTGAGTGGGGGTGCCATATGGAACTCTTACCAAAACACCCCAAGTGCTTGGTCCGTATACTTATATAATATATTATTATTTATTTATTTATTAATAATGGCAGTTAACAAATACAAAACAATAAGCTAATAGAGTCGATACAAATCGAAAAAAATAACTATATTTCAGTGTAAAGGGTACATTACCATTTACACTGTATCCACTTGACTGTTGGTTTCTGCGCTCTTCCTTATCGTAATGTGCCATGTCGATTCCAGTGTATGGACCTGCCATAAAAATTTTGCTTTCTCTTTTAAAATCCTATTTTACCAGTAGTGGTTCGTTAATCTGTTCGGGTTTCCAACTTCTGGTGATTTTAAACAAACAACAAACCTGGCAGACAGTTTAACTATACGATGAGTTAGTTAGTTAGTTGTATGATCCTACTTTTTTAATTCAGCTACTAAGGCAGTCAGTTGAAACGTCAACTACAGCACGACCAATAGCAGCTGAGCATAAAAGTTGCTTAGGAACGTGTCACATGAAAAGAACTTGTGTAAGCTGTTATCTCACTGAAAGAAACAATATACACGTACAGCCCACCTACACCACTGTATCACTTATGACAGCTAATGTTGGTAACGAACGTCATCACGGTGATTTGCACACGTGTGTACAAACACATCGGTAAACGTTAATGTCATAAAACATGTATGTCAAACGTGATGAAACAATGGAAATTACATTTATGTGTCAATCAATACCAATTAATTCAAACTACATACGTATGAAAAAAGTAGAAATAAATAACATATCTAAAAGTATAAACAATTACTATATTTTGTGGCACTTAGACAAAACAACATAAACAAGTAGTTTATGCGTGTTTTTAAAAGTTTTGAGACGATTTCACTGGATAATGAAACACCGTTATTATAAATGTACGACGTATGTGTGTTTGCATTCTACGTTCTCCGGAAGAATGTACACGTAGAAGTCGACTGCATGATGTGGCAATTCCCCGTACTTTCCACCTTTAAGCACGTGATAAGGACATGTATAGAGGGTCAAAGTTGATAATGTACTGTACTACGAGTAGTTATTGTGAAATCCCCGTTCTCGTGATGTTGTTGCAATCGTTGTTTTAACGTTGTTCGCGCAATGTATTTATTTCCAATAGATAATGAAATCATAAAGTAGTGCTAAAATATCGTATCTCTACAGTTACAAATACGAAAAAAGGCGTTGTTTTAATGCTGTATTGTCTTTTAACGTTCATGAAGAATAATACAGCTAAGCCTAGATGAAATGAGAGAACAATTAACTTTTCGTACCGGTTTAACTGAGTATATATATAAATTGTAAACTAACCGGTTTAACTGAGAAAATATATATATATTGTAAATCATTCCATAAGTTTGTTTGTTTGTTTGTTTAAGAGTAAAGCAACATTGGGCTATCTGCTGTGTCCACCGCAAGAAATCGAAACTCGAATTTTAGCATTGTAAAGCCGTAAACTTACAGCTGTCCCACTGGGGAACATATCAGAGGATGTTCCATTTCCAATATATTTATTGGCTTTCATTAACAAATCAAACTCATTAGTGTCATACAACTGTTTCCAGGAAAAACGAAGCATTTATCGTTACAGAGCTATGCGCGTTTTTAAAAGTACTTTTCATCCGGGTTGTACGTAACCGGTTACACTGGTTTCTATATTTTATTATTTCCCGGCAACTGAACAGTATGAGCTCCCTAATTTATAAAACTATACTTTGTTTAAACTGTATTTGTTTGTTTGTTGTTAAGCTCAAAGCTATACAGTTGCATCGAAATCCGGTTTTTAGTGTTAGAAACCTTCAGACTTACCACTGAAACAATGGGGGCTTATTCGTTGAGTTTCGCGCAAAGCTACTTGAGGACCACTGCACTAGCCGTCACTAATTTGGAACTGACAGACTAGAGGGAAGGCAGCTAGTCATTAACACCCACCGTCAACTCTTGCACTACGTTTTACCACGGTAGAAAGGTCGAGCATCTTCGATGATGCATTTTGATCCCTTGACCTACAAGTTAAGAGTTCAAAGCCCTAACTGCCAGGCCATGCCAGACCCAAAAACAATGTATATAAGGAGTGTACCATACTTTAGTTACCAATTCTCTTCCCCATTGCTGCGAATACAAAAATGATTCACACAAAGTAGGTAAAGCTTGATGAATTATATCAAGACACACGGTAGTGTGTCGTGCGGCCGAAAAAAAAAAGAAACTAAATCGCACAACACCCAGTGGGTTATTAACAGGAATGAAAAGTTTGGATTTTTCAACAATCCGTATAATTGCCCCATTAACCAAAAGTATCCCTGGTCTCCTTACCTTACGTGCTAAATTTCAAAGAAATCGCTTTAACCTTTATCGTTTTACAGCAGGCCAAACTTAGCCTGAAATTCTTCGTTTTACCCTTCGCACCAGTGAAAAAGAAAAAAAAACTTCCCATTAATTGATTTCTTTGCAATTTGGGACATAGCTGGCCTATATATTTCCCTAGCTTGACAGTAAATATGTAGTAGCTCAAGTATTGTAGAAGATATGGGCAAAAATTAAGCCAAAATCTCGTAAATTTTTGTGTTTGTTTGGAGAAAAATTGGCTAACTCGATCGCGCTGAAATTTCTACCACACATTACAGTATTATAAAAATGGATCGTTTTTATTTTATAAAAATCGAACGCGAAATCCGGAAGTTATGAACCCAAAACTAACATCGCGTAAAACTTTTCACACGATTTTTTGCATCAGACTTCAAACTAATAAAAACGCTTCCCTGTACCTGATTACTATCGTTTCTGGCATATGGTTATCATATTTTATGATATCACTTTATCTACCATATAAAACTATCCAATGAACACGACATCTATTAAAAAACAAGCATGGCTGAAAAAAGCGTGGACAAAAATAAAGCAACTGAAAGATATTAACTCAAAGTTATTGAAGTATTGAAGAAACTCACATGCAATTATAATGTCTCCAAATTTAATAGGTGCTGGATGTTAATTATTCCAAACTATACCTGAGTATCAATTTTATGTCCTTTGTGGTTAATTGTACCTAATGTACAACAAAAAAAGAGTGATATCTAATCAAAAACAACATAGCTGTAAAAAACTGTTCTGTCAAAAAACATGCATTACAACAGAGAGATGGGAAATCAAAGTTTGCAGCCAAAATGAAAAAAACTAGAAGAAATTACACGGGCCGCTGTTTTTTTTGTTTTAGTTGTTGTTGTTTTTTTATTTATTTATTTTTGTCGGTGTGTGGGTAAACATAAAACAGCAGCCCATGTGATTTCTTATATTAGATATGCATATTCTACAAATTAGAATTAGGCCTACCACATTTTTTCACACTGCATTCCTTATTTCATGCTTTAGGGATTTACAAGAATTGGAAGAGTTTATAATAATGGTGTTATTATTATTATTATTACACCCACAATATGTTCGCCATATCCATTGTCGACGGCAGGTTTCTCTCTATCCAGAGCTGTTCAGGAAGACTGAGACACAACAAACACAATAATGGTCGGTGTACTATTTATATAAGCAATTTGTCACAACAACATTTGTTATGGTGTAAAAACCTTTTCCAATATTTTCCTGGCAATTTCGTTCATGAAACATGTCCTCTAGCGGAAATTTAAACAATATCGGGATCTCCTGAATCACGTAATTCACAATAGCTGACACGATATGTAAACAAAGCCGATTTCGATAGCCAAATATTTTATTTTTTATTATTTCTAATAAAGCACATTACGTTATGAGGATCACTTTATTCAAACTAAATTTTCTGGACTATGAATTATAAACAGCTTTTTTTCAAGAAATTCTAGTACTGAAACTTTTAGAGCTCATTTTCCACAACTTTTCAGGATTTCGAGAAGCTATGCAACTCTGTAATACCGTATATATACATATACAAGTCTGAGTGTTTTCGGATTCTTCGTTTAACCTTACACTCACATAGCATCAAGATAATAACATCTCAAATCAACAAAAATCCTTCTACTTAAGCCTTAAAATACCTAGAATTACATTTGGTGGAGTCAAAACAGAGATTTGTAGTCTGAGTAAATAATGTCTACAGTATGTCCAGCCTTGTTTTCTTACTTTTTTTACAATCCCTAGTTGCACATTTTTAAATTCCATTTTTTTATTTATCTTGTTTGCTAGTTTATGTACGCTCAACTATGGACAAATGATTACTTGATATGTTAGCTATTTTTATACATTGCAATGATAATAACGTGGCTAGTAGCTAGCTGATACGGTACTTGATGATTTAATGTAGCCACTGACTATTTGATCGCATAAGTTCGAGATTTAAATAGTTAAGCTGCAGCTGGGGATTGTCATAGAGATTTGTTTGAGAATATAGTGAGTATTTATAGTTTCTGTGTAACTAAATTCTCTATATATAATGTGTATCAATGGGCAAATGTATGCCTAGACTAAGACACAACCTTCACTAAGCGCGAAAAACATTTTGCCAGTAAAAAAAGCTGCCTTTTCAATTAAAACACTAAAACATCTCTTACAACGCTAGAAACCGGGTTTTGATACCCGTGTTGGGCAGAGCACAGATAGCGCATTGTGTAGCTTAACTTTAAATAAACTAAAACATTGCCCTAAATAAACCTTCGTGCCTTTTAAAGTAATTATTTTACGAATGTGTGTAATAAAATTTCATATTATGTGTTTTGTTTTACTCCTTCACCTCATACGTAATATACGGTTGACTCCCTAAAGATACCGATTTTATAGCGTACAAAGCATTGAGTATTTATATGTTACAGTCATCTAATGTTCATCTATTATTGGCTGGTAATTCCTGTATCACTCCGTACTTAAGTTTTTTAAAGGGTCATCAGATATTTGGACGAAGGGGTAATGATAACATCGTTCACACTAGAATTATGATCCTTTTTAGGATCATAGAAGAAATAAATCAACTTTCAATACCCCTACGACCTTTGCAATACCTTATTTACTATCCTACAAAAGGTTAGGGTGCAACATACCAAGTTGTTTTTGTTGGCAAGAGAATAATAACAATAAGAATTATAAACAGACCGTTTTGAGAGGATTTTCTTTTTCTTGTAAGTATAACATGCGTGTTTTGTGTGTTTGTGTATTTTATATGTGTACAGTCGTAGCTGTCAATAGTAAAGGTTTTAAAGTGTTGTTTGAACTGAATATTAACTGTTTAAGGAGCTTTTTGCCCGAATATTCTATTAGGGTTTTGTGCGATTCCCTGCGATCCCTATTATGAACCACTATCGTGGTTCATGATAGATATTAAATTCATCTGATCGATCTATCATGACGAAATACTGACAGACGCTACTTATGTAATCTTCTTTGGTTTTGTTGGTTTGTTTTCTTTCATGTAAAGCTACACAAGGGTTATTTGCACATAACTGTCCCTAACTCGGAACTGATAGTTTAGATGGAAGGCATCTAAGAAACAGCATCCCCAGCCAACTACTGGATTAGCTATTAGTGTCTGAATAAACAGTGTAATTTTTGATCATCTCACTTTCAGAGTACCCACAGCGGTGATGGGTCGCGAACAATGATTCCTGGCATTCACAGTCTAGAGACATTAATCTCTAAGCCACGCTTAGCCCCAATCTTCTTTGGGGAACGCTTTCATAGTTTAAGACTGCCTAGTCTTCAAACTTCCTACACAGATTAAAGTAAAAAAATAAATAAATAAAAGAACTCGTATGAAAGCCACACAGTCGACATAGACAACAAAACTCCGAAAACTTGAAATTACGCTTCTTCAGACATATTTTTGAAAATAGTTCATGACAAAACCTAAAATCGAAAATTCAGAGAACATTTAAAC